TTCCATTTCTTTGGCTTTCTGTGTCCACCATACTTCACGGTCGGATCGCAAACTCACTTTCAGTTGACATCTGATCGCTCTTCGCATTGGGTTATGTTCGGGACCGGCTGGGATATTTCTTCGAGATTTAAGTATTGCCACCGTTCGGTCTGATATCCAGTGCTTGAGTGCGCCTGGTTGGGTAGTGCCACAGGCAAAATTCCCAGCACTATGCAAAGAGGTGGCAATCTCGTCCCAGTATGAGTTCATATCTGATGGTGGAGCGTTTGGAAGAGACTCTAGAAGCTACAGCTGAATAGTTCCGGACCTGTCAATGCCAGAAGACCAATTTACTAATGTTTGGAAAGTCTTGAGCACAGACAACGTTGAGTACGCTGTATTCCACTGCCGTTCCGGACAGCGGAGGAGCCCACTGCTCGTCCACTACAGCTACAAATATTCACTCGGATAACACAAATAACGAAACTATTCACAGCGATCAGGAACCACATACCGCACCAGCCCTTGCGAATCACGGACCCTACACTGGAGGGAAGATAGGACCGACAGAACCCAGAATGGCTGGTTTTCTGTTCACTGGGCTTGGCAGTTTGGTTGCAAACATCTCGACATCAGTCGAGGTGATGTCGTCAGTGCGTAAAAGATTAGCGTATCGTCCCCCCAAGTACACTTAAAACATTCCTAATCGCTGTTATAGCCGTCTGTAGTAGAGAATGTGTAACATACGACCAAGCTGCCAAAAGATGCGGTGTGGTATGTATTCCGACACAACCGAATTCTATGAGCGCCTTGTTTTGAATCCGCTGGTACAAATCTATTCCACTTATTCTCAGACGTCCACGGTCAAAGACCCGAGAGCACCTTAGATCCTGGGCCAAGAAAGACCAACGCTCGTGGCCATACAGCACAGATGAATACACTCGAAAACGGGAGAGTGTGGGAGGCGATGGAATGTTGAGTTAGTTTGAAAACTGGGTAGTTACGCATTGAAGGCGGTAGCTTTGACGCATGTACACCACTGACTGTGCGATTGGGTCATTGCTGCCAATTTTAGTAACCAGTGGTGAGCTGCGTCCCAGGGTCTCCATCTAGGGAGGCGGCAGCCACCGACTCGATTAAGTTTACTGGTTAGTGTTTTCGTACTTTGTTGCCAGGTCATACATTGTCCACTTCTCTGTCGCTTCCACTCACCAGAGGGTTGGATGAAAAGAGTTCTGCAAGACAGACGGTCTTCTGGCATGCGGAGTACATGTCCTAACTAGCGTAATCTATGAAGCGTGAATATTACATCAATCGCAAGAGAGTTTCTTCTTCCAAAGACCATTCAGCGTACCTGAGTATTGCCAATCCGATGTTCCCACCGAACCTGTTCAATGCTTCGGAGGCACCGATGGTCAGACACTGACATCTTCCGTATGTTCTCTGCGCGTAGAGGCCACGTTTCTGACCTATAAAGCAGTATGGATAGCACCACCGCAGTGTAAACTCTGCCCTCAACAGACAAACTGATGTCAATTCGGCACCATAGGTGTCGGAGGTTGGTAAGTGCCGCCTGAACTTTCCGATTCGAAAAAAATTTATTCTCCAGCCAGTCCACCGGGATTTATACAGCTGCCCAGGTAATCAAATTTATCCACCAAGTCGATTGGCTCGCTTGCAAACATGAGGTGTGGAGTCGATCCCACCCAGTCCTGTACAAGTACTTTACACTCTCCAGGTGCGAAGATCATAGAGGAGGCTTGCACTTAGAGACCGAGCATCACCGTAGTGTGACGGCTTGTGTGCCTGCGTGATCCGGTGGAGTATCCATGTAACAATCGCGGAGTCTTATATCAGGTTGGTTCAATGTTTAGACATCTGCCCAAGCCTAGACAGGGGAAGTCGAGTGGCGGAGGTCGGGTTCGAACCACGGACCTTACGGTCAGCAAATTCGCGCTCTAACCACTTGGTCCACCTCGCCTCCATTGCACTAGGGTTAGGCTTTTCAGACAAAGCCTCCCGCTGAAGACACTTATCGTTAGCCGGTCAAGGTGTGGGCACTCTGAAAGTAGCCCAATCCGCAAACATCCATGAACACCATAACTAATAACATTGTCATGCCAGAGAACATCGCGTGGTGCCCGTAGCCGGGTCGCTTTTTCTGTTACATAGAGCACATCAGTTAAGCAAAAGCACACTAATGCTGACGCCTCCCCCACCCTATTGTTAAGGCCCTACTTCCAGGCCCATCAATCGATTCCCTCAGCTTCGTGCGTCGTGAAATCGATCTTCAAGCGCTGAAGCCATGTCTGGTCGCTTTTAATGTTCGCGGTAAGCGGCACAACCGGCCGCTATTGCTCTCATACTCAATACGCTACAAAACGGCAAGCTGAACGCCGCAAACAATTCGAGACCCAAGAACAATCTCCGAGTTACTTCTCCAGCAACTCTTATTGCATCTGCCTGTACAGCTATGGCAACCCAGAAGACACTGCGGCGTGATGCATAGAGGCCGGTCTCATTCCAAGTCACCGGATGAAAGGATCCCTGCTCGATTAGATACCCACTGATTCTCCCTTATGAACGGCTAATTTGGCAACAACCGCAAAGCACTCTCACAAGCGGAAAGTTCATCATTCTATAAAGGAAACTACTCACAAGGTTGCTGAAAACTGTTCGACAGCCCACGACCGGTTTCGCCCTTCTTGGGGCTCATCAGGTAGGTGCAGTCCCCAAGTTTCCGTCAACCTTATGTTCTACTTGAACCCAAATTGGACTGTTTTCGATAAACACACTCATTTGCAGATCAATTTGGTTTTCACGGGAGACTCAACTGAATCTCTCGTTTATATTCTACATCACTCTATGTTTATGGTATCTGCTTACGCCCCCAACAGACCGTAGTTTTGAAACCAGCAAAGTCAACTTCTACGACGTTTCAAGTGCACCGTTACGCCGGCCGTTGTGTTGTCGGAGACTTGAATATACAGGTAGGGGGACTTAGCACATTTGGAAATCCATTGGGTGACGACCAGCATCATCAAAAACAGACACAACAACATCCATGTTGGCACTAACGAAAAACCACCTTATCGTGGTGGCCGAGCTTCAGTGCCGCGATGGTCTTGCGGGCTGGAACTGATTGAAACTTAGCTCCCTAAGGCTCACCCATGCCAGAAAGGCCAACATGGAGGACGGATCAGGAAATGTCGGTCCCAAAAACTGTTCACTCCAATCGTTCAAAAGTTAACGGGCCAACCCCCTTGCAAGCAAACGGGTTAGTGGGTGAGTCAGTGGCTCCGGGGAGGGTCCACCAAGAAAACCCTAACAACCGCAGCCTCAGAGTTCAGTCTCTTGAGTCAGAGGCTAGGATCAGTGTCCCCAAACAAAGCCCTTCATCCTTCCACTGCCTTGTGGGTGAAACTATTACGTCAAACGTTCAAGGTGGGGGCATCAACCAAACACCCTTCGACCTGAGCAACCGAAAAGTATTATTCGGCTTCGCAGCGCTTCGTTCACCGGCCTTCACCCATGCCAACTCTCCACCCACCGAATGAGGCACGGCGGTCAACCCATCTGCCAGTCTCCAAACTACGGTACCGTATCTAAACTATCGCCTGACAGAATAAACAAAATAATCCCTTGCTAAGCTCCAAAGATCAGATTAACTCTTAAGCATTCAATGTCCACACTCTCCATCAAATCGGGCCTTGCTTCCCCTCACTGCTAATGTAGTGTCTCCAAAACATGTGAAACCCCGCTTCAATCGTGCACCTCAAGCCCCCTAGAACGAGTCCACATGTTCTCAGTTTCAATCCTCGGGTATCTGATGATCCTGACGCAACGGCTGGAGGTATCACCATCGTCATCATCACCATCGACCGCAAAACACAAGTGTTTTAACACCGATGTTTCGCCGCCGTACAACCATGATTTATTTGAAAGCTTTTGAGAGAGAATAACAGTGGATGAGAAAAGGAATAATCGTTATCACAATCATTCCGAAGTACCAACAGCTCCAGACACTCGTTCAAGTAATATGAGTATAAGCTGACACTAAGAACGCCGCTGACGTCGAGTAGAAGCTATATCTCCAAGCGGGCAAAGTGGGGATCATGTGGTCCACACTGTGGAAGGTGAGTTACACCTACAGCACCCACACTTTTCGTAATCTCTTTCATACCCCTCTGCCAGGTCAAAAGATGCTCACCTCTCTGCTTCTGCCACTCTGA